GGGAGTGTTGCCCACGTACCAGCCGATGTATCTTGCTGGGGTGGGAGGCAGGGGAGAGGGGGATAAGAACCAGCCGGGGCTGAGCCCACCGATTCCACCCCCCTCCTTTTTTGGTTTTTCCCTAAATAGGGATGCGCAGCAACGTGCCCTGTTCGTTTGGTTTGGAAACACGAGCGTGGGGTGCTGCAACATTCCCCTGCAGCCGCTGGAAGGAAAGGTAGGCATCCGTATCCTACTACGGGTAGAAAGGGTGCTGCAGCTCCACACCGAGCCTTCTCCTCTCCGTCCTCTTCCTCCCCACCGGCCTCACCACTGAGCAAAGCAGCTCCAAAAAGAGATGAGTTACACGGTAAAATACCCCATCCCCTTCACTCTGCCCTGCCAGGAACACTGGGGTGGGCAGAAAGGAGAAATACAGTTTAAAACAAATTTTCCCCAGCCAGCAGCTCGTTTTCCCCAGCCCCAGACATCGCTGCGGAGGATGTTCGCCCAGCGCTAACACTTGGCAAAGCAAAGGCTGACGCCTCAGCTGAGAGCAAATGAAGACGCCGGTAGACGGGGAACAGAGCTGAATAAATAGTTAAGATGAAATAATTTGTTTGACAAATGCAGCCTTTCCCGATAATCTGACAACAAACAGCCATCTCGTCACCTCCATCCCCGTTGCCACGCTCCGCATCGGCTGCTCGTTAGGGGCGAGCCGGTCCCCGAGCCGTCCCTGGGCAGCCCTGCACCGCCAGCACCTTCCCCGTCCCCGCTCAGTCTCCTCGTTAGGTGCCCTCATTAGTGCCCTCATTAGTGCCCCGCTCCTCCTCCCGGGCAGGGATGCGGCGCTGGGGCAGGGATGCTCAGCATCCTCGAAGCTGCTGCTGCCCGAGGAGAACAGGGGTTTCGGGACCTGGTGGGATTAGCCATGCGGTAATCAGCTAACGAGGTGGCCATTAACGTGTTCTGGCAGAGGATGGGTAGGTCGGCCACCCAGTGCGGGTACCCCAGGGAGAGGGGAGGGTGGCCCTGGGGACGAGTGGCCGGGTCTTACGGCATGGAGGTAATGGCAGAGCTGGCTCTCAGGGCACCATTTCCAGGATGCTGGCACAGGGAGACCCCGTCCTGGAGAAATCCTGGAGCCTGTGCCGTGGCCACCGGCCTCTGGCCTTGGGCTGCTGCTGCAGAGTCCTGGCGTGGGGACACAAGAGGAGAGGCTCCTGTCTCTTCAGGACCACCAGATCCCAAGCCAAGGAGCTGTTTTTCCACCGCACCCAACGCCCCTCCAGCTGTGCCCCCCAGGGCTCTGGCCCCAGCACCCTGGCTGAGGGGCTCTGGGAAAGCACCAGGACATCTGGCAGCACAGGACCAGATGAGGTGAGGGCTCCCCTGCTCTGGTCACGAGGGAAGCCATGGCTCTAGGCAAGCGACGTGCACCTTCCCGTACGTGCTTACCACCCCGTGCCCCTCCTTCCATCTCCAGGTCTCCACCACACACCAAACTATCCCTCTAATAGCAGACC